TTTTTTTAATTGAAATTTTACTTCGGAAGGATGAATAGCTTTTGGGGGCAAGGAAAGTGGGATTGGTGATGTAAGGAGTTCTTCTACTGTTACGGTGTGGGCAGGATGGGATTCCGGATGTGAAATAAATGTATTGGATAGGTGAATGGCGAACTCCTCAGCTTTATCTTCGTCAGATGCTGCCCAGGAGCCATCACCTCGTCGGAGAGGATGGGAAATGCGGTGAGGATTTAGGATTTTTGTTGTGGTTTTCCAAAGGGAATTGTCGCGAGAAGAGAGGGAGGATAGGTAGGAGTTGAAGGATTGTGATCTGAAGGTGGCTAATTCCAGTTTTAATTGTTTGCAGTAGTAATTATAGGAGCAGCGGTCGGTAGGATGTCGGGATCGTTGCCATAATAATCTGGCACGGCGTTTGGTGCGGATTAGGTTAAGGAGGTGTTGGGGTAGAATGGTCTTTATAGGAATTCTGGAGGAGTCTTTTGGAAAGGAGGCAGTCCAGGCGGCTTGTTGGATTGTGGTAGTAAAGGAATTTACGGCACTATCAAGGTCATCGGGAGTTTTGAGGGATATGTTGAGATCAATATTATCGGAGATTATTTGGCGGAAATAATCCAGGGGCCAGTTTACTGGCCAGTTTACTGGGCCCCTAATGAATGACGGTGGAGAAGGTTTGGGAACAGGTTCAAGTGAAACATTAAGGATTAGAGGACTATGGTCAGATGAAAGTTCATTTAGACGTGTAATGGAACAATTGAGGGGACTTAAGCCGCTGTGGATAAAGAAATCTAGAAGATCAGGATTACGGTTGGGATCTGTGGGCCAGTAGGTAGGAGAGTTGGGGGAAAGGAGGTGAAAACGTTGGGAATTGAGTGCAGACAGCAGGGTTCGGCCACGAGAATTCGTGGTTCTAATTGATTCATTAACATATTTTTTCCGGCAGATTGAAGGTATCTAACCATAAATAATAATCCCTTATATAGCTATGCCATGGTTATATAAAGTAGTTATACGGAATGATTGGCAAGGAAATAATAAAATAAGTTATGCGTATTTTATCAAGAAAAATGTTTTAATTTAATTAATTACAATCAAATGGAAAAGTGTTCTGGTCAATTAGCCTACTCTTAATTCCACTCTATTCGAAAATTCCTGTCTAATTTCTATAAATTTAACTTTCTCGATCTTACATTTTCAATTCGTAATTAAAATTTACTTTATAATTTTATAATTTTAAATACTACAAATGATCGTTATACTTACATTCATGAATGGTATTGACAATGCTAGTGCATAGACTCCTATAATTGAGAGGCAGGATAAATGGTTAAGAATGCGATGTACAGATAAAGATGGAAAAAAAAAAAAAAAGAAAGATGGTAAAAGGTAGCTTGAATAGAGATATACAGCTGATTAACGATCTGTTTAACTGATATCATCATTCGACTATTCAGCAATGTTATCGCCTTGTAGATTACATATCTTTCTCGCTAGAATCAAAATTGTACTGTCCTGGCGTTTTTCTTGACATGAGTCAGGCTTTTGATACAATATGGCACGATGGTTTGTTACATAAATTAAAAACGATTATTCCTCCGGCGTATTACTTAATTTTACTATCATATCTAAAAGATAGATTTTTCCGTGTGAATATGGGGACTGAGTTTTCTGCCATCAAACAAATAAAAGCTGGAGTACCTCAAGGCAGTGTCTGGGGTCCAACACTTTTCAACATTTACTGTTCAGACATCCCACAACATTCTGAAACACTGTTGGCTACATTTGATGATGACTCGGAAATATTAGCATCTAACAAGGATGCAGCTAAGGGTTCTCAGGTACTTCAAGATCACCTGGACGACATAGCTTGTTGGGCTAAAAGGTGGAGAATAAAAATGAACGAGTCTAAGAGCCAATTTGTTTCATTTACACTTAAACATGACTCTTGTCCTCCAGTGTTCTTTAATAATATTGCTCTACCACCTTTAAAAACTGTACGATATTTGGGTCTCCACTTGGACAAACGACTGACATGGACATACCACATAAAACAAAAAAGAAAAGAACTTAATCAGCGATACGAACTTCTTTCGAGGCTACTTGACAGACGTTCTAAATTATCTGTGACTAATAAATTAACTATTTACAAAGTCCTCATTAAACCACTTTGGACATATGGGGTCGAACTATGGGGGACAGCAAAGAAATCAAATATAAAAATCATCCAGTCATTCCAGTCAAAAGTCCTTCGGAAAATTGTAGACGCACTTTTTTATGTTTCAAACCTCACGTTACACACTGACCTTAAAACTCTTTTCATCGCAGCAACAGCCACTGACCGCTTTAATAATTTTCAAGACAGACTGACTCTAAATTCCAATCCACTTACTCAAGCTCTATCTACTGCCACAAATCCATATAATCCGCCCAAGCGGCCTAACTGCTGAGGCGCTGGCCAAGAGATTTATTGCATTGAGCTACTTTGCTGCATTATCTTTTTTTTTTGTATGTGTTTGTTATTATGTATGTGTTATTTTACTACTTTTTTTTTTATATCATATTTGCTGAATACCGAGGTATATGGCAAATTTATTGTGAGCCACGAATATGTATAACTAATAAATAGATTAACTGTCATTCTTTAAACAGAGTTTTGCATCTATTTAAACTGAAATGAGTGGAATTTCATTCATCATATAGTTAATAGGTTTATTAGGATGTAAGGTATGCGTTGAGTCAAGAAAGAAACTTAAGGTTTGATGTTGCTCTGATGTTTACCGCCATTTTGGCCTAAGTTGTAAAGAATAACTTTTATAGAAAAGAAAAGTGAATTTCGTTGGTTTACTGCAAATAGTCATTAAGTAACATTTTATAAAACTGTATCTCTTAAGTATATTGATGAATTTTTATAAATATAAAATAGAAATGGAAAAATAACTAAATACTTAAGTACTTAAGTACTTATGACAAAAGAGAACTAAATTATACAAGAAGAGTTACATTAAATAAATAAAATCCCTTACGTAAACTAACAAAATATACAAAACAAACTGATAAAATGCTTAGAACTATATAGAATACTGATAGGAAATGAAAAAGAAATGCTGTTTAGATAAAAAATATAAAGAAAAACAATAAGATATATAAATTAAACAGCTTTAAGAGAACAGTAATGTTGTAATAAACAAATGACATGGTATGAAAAATATATGTACAAGTTCATAAGTACACGTAAGTATATACACAAGTTCATCAAGCATAGGAGTGGCGTTGGCTCTTATATACGTAGATAATCTGATAACGAAATGTGCCTAAGAAATATTTGTACGGAAGGAAGGGAAGAGCCACCCAAACTCAGCATAATGGTGGAAGACATGAGAACGTCGCGTGTGTTTGTGTCACTGTGTTTTTTTTTTTTTGTCGATACGAAAAACAGTAAGTTTATCAAAATGACACAAACCCTTTTATACATCAAGTGTAGTTTCATCGAAAAGGAAAGGGTATAGTTAGTGTGTAACCAATTTTTGCGCAACCAATTTTTTTTCGGCGATCCTACATCGAAAAATCTTAGACACATACCCCCTAGGAACCGATAACCAAAATATTTTATATAATTGCAAACTAAATTTTTGTAATTTATTTTTGCCTTTGGTTTTCTGAAGTTTTAGTAAAAAATATATCAATCACTTTCTTTTTTTTGTGCAGAATAAGAAAAAATATTGGCTATTGTATCAAATGAGCTGTAATTTGATACAAAGTTGTAATTGTGCTTGTAATTGTAATTGAGTTGTAATTGTACTTTATAAAGACCAAAAGGAATTTCCAGTAAAGTAGGCCAATTAAATTTATGTCATATAAAAGCAAGTTATATTCGTTTTTACAGCGTTTTAAACTCTTAAATACGAATTGTTATATAAATAAACAAAAAAATGTAACCTTTAATTCTTGATTTTCTTAGGTGATTTATTTTCAGACGTCAACCAAAGCTTTCATAACTCCTTCGCACATTCTTTAAATTCAGCTTTAATATAACCATTGTGAAGGTTAATTACTTCTCTTCCAACCGAGATCATTAACTTTTTTATTTTATTCCTATTTAAACTAGAAATTAAGTCAAACTTTCGGGCTGAAGCCTCCCCTAAAATGATTAAATATAACCATGTTTTATGGGAAAAATACCTCTTAAAGTATCATTGTTTGTGCAATTACATTTAAGAGGAATTGAGGAATCACTTGAACACCATTTCATATAGATACTTAGTTTCTTTCTGTTTTTCCAAAGTAATTATCGTTATTTTTATAAAAAAAAAAAAAAGGTTTCGGGCAGAAGCCCCCAAAATTAAATCCTGGATCCGCTAGTGTTTGTTTACGAAGGTCGTGTTTATACCATTTCGTATACAGAGGTCTAAATCCCTAAAATAATTTCGTTTGGATCCGTTTTAAATCGAGGAAAGAGATAGTCCATGGTGGCAGTCTTGAAGATATGTACGCTTAGATCCAACGTAAGCTGAATGAAATAGTTTCCACTATTTTAAGTTTTTTTTTTTATGACCATCGTTTCGGGCTATCTCTTTCCTCAAAGCACAACGAAAAGCTATTGAGTATTCAATCAATTATTTTGGCTAAGTTAGAAAGTATATGAAATTTTAAAATTTAGCCTCTTGGGGGAAAAAAAATTCATTCATGTCAGATTTCATAATGATTATATAGCAACAAGCTTTGACATCGTAGCTATCTCAGCTCGAGATAGCGCTCACTTTACGAGCCAGTTATTTTTAAATGGTTTCATTTTCCCTCTTTCTTTTCAACGTAATGGCCGACCAGATAGCGCTTTAGGGCACATTAGCTACAGAAACATTTGGCTGAAAATCACGATTTTCTTATCTTTTCGAACTCTTCAATCAGCCTTGGCTTGGGTAATGGTATAAAATGAAAGTGCAGATAACGACAACTTCTAATCTTCAAAATGTGGCTAAAATCGTTCGCCACGAACGGCATTGAGCATGTTTTTTAACAGATGTTGTTGGGTTCAGTTGTACTTAATAGTTTGTTTCAAGGCCAAGTAAGTTTTTTGCCACTATATTTTATTAAAAAAAAAACTTAATGACTTCTTTAACTTTAATTTTTTTCAGAGGTTAGATGAGAGAAAACTATATGTACAATAAAAATTGAAGCCTTGCCTAACACACTAACTTTTCTCTCTTTAGAAAAATAGTGATTTTTTTTCACAATAAAAACAATGAAATTTAAAATATTTTACTAGTATAAGACCTATTTGGACTTGCGGGATATAGCTTTGGGGCTATACTAAACCATCAAATTCCTCTCGTATCCTTACAATATAAAATAATTCGTAAAATCCTCGTTGCTCCCAACTTTGTCACAAATAAAGTCATCCATATAATCAACCATATGTTTCCAATTTAGCTCAATCCAGATACCTATCCTTCCATAATAATCTTCTGAACCATCCGAACCTCTTGTTTCCAACCTTCCAAATGTATCATTCATCTTCTATTCCTGATAGCCCTCCGAGGGGTCTGAAAAGAAGATAACCTCGGGACCTTCCAACATAGAAATATAATTTGAGTGCTACCAATAAGTATTTTCTCTTCATGTTGTACATGTCATGTTACTTGTTTCATATTTACTTGTTTCATATTTACTTGTTGTATTTATCATTTAATACTGTTGTTTAGGGAACACATCCAATTTTATATTTAAATTTAATTTTAATTTTAATAATCAAGTAAACACATCACAGCTGTTATCTGTAGCATACTGCATGTATACCTCAGTTGTTATTGTGACGCCGCCATTATTGAAGCGTAGACGCTCACGTACCGTGAGAGATTGACTAGACTGGCCAGTTGAAAAATTTGTGATTCGACTGGTTTACTAAAAACATGGAGTAAAAAACTACAGGGGCCGGCAAGGAGCCAAGAAAGGAAGAGAGAGAAGATGAACAAGAAGACTGGCAACTAGAAGAAAAGAGAAAATGCAAGTATCCCAACCCACCTATATTTAACCTCCGTATAAAACTACATGTAATAAAATAAAGCAATCAATTTTACATATTCACTTCTGCAATCCATTAATAACTCCTCTAATTTTAAAGTCCACAGCAATAAATTATCACCAGCTCTTAAAGCAGAATTATTATGACAATATCTCTGACAGTCTTGGAAGGGATTGGCATAGTAAATTAAACAACTGCTGTAAATTTCAATAATAAAAAAAAAATTACCTAGCCAAGGCATAAATCAGATTGTAAAAACACAGATTTGTGGAAACTGACTCTTGAGTATACCATAAAGTTGTCATTCAGAAACTTATCTTTAAGTGCAATCATATGATGTTGATGATACGCAAACAACTCATAATACATATGGTCATAATTCTGTCGTCTTAATATCAATTTTATTTATAGTGATGTTTTATCTTTTATACTTTCTGGTTTATCACCAATTTTCCGAACAAATACGCCAACAGCACAATAATTTAGAAGTTATCTCGAAAATAAAAGTCGGTTGTTAAATTTATGTTCAGCTGCATAAAATGTGGAATGTATTTATTATGACATTAATCGCGTAAGATATATTTTGGTTTATTCAATATCAGTTGTTTGCGGCCAGACTAAATATGCCCAATAGGTTACTTCCGTGAATTTTCAATTTGAATTGGTTGGTGGAGTTAAGGTTATGAAAATTAAATAAAAAAAAAAAACCAGTTCGAATTTTTATGATGCATATTTGCAAAAATAATTAGCGTTAAAGAAAAGTGATGTGGGGGGAAGGAAGAAACGGCTACGTCTTAACCTGCCCGCGCCTGGCTCTTATCGTTGAATATCTTCTTACTTCTTAGTTTGGAAAATTGTTTCCAACTTCAAAACTTCTTTTCATGATATATCATTTCAAATTTTCTTTCATTCTTTCTTCTCTGAGTGAAAATATTTGGCTTAAAATATGTTTTATTAGGTTTCGTACAGAAGTAAAATAAGCAAGCTGAAAAATATAGAAACAAGATGAGTAATTTCACTGTTCTCTAATATTATTTATTTCTTCCATTATGGATTGCCATTGTTTTTTTCATTTTACTTCTACCATAGAGGGTAATTTAGGTAAGTTTTTTTGGTTTATTGTAATGCTTCATTTCTATAATGTAATGGAATAGATTTGCGACTTTTCTCTCCACTGTCTGGTAATACTTTCAATATCGCTGATAAATTTAATTCATGTCTGATTTTTTTTTTAATTCAGGGTATTCTAGTATTAGGTCTTAGGCTGACTGTGGTCCATTGCCATATTTGACATCCAAGGAGGTACCCGTTCTTAAAGAGGGAATGACAAATTCTTATTAAGCACAATATAATTTCTTCCCTTCTAGATTTTATTGTGATTGTACTCCATTCGTCGCATTGGTATTCATTTCTGATAGTTTTGACTGTATCATTTTCCACTTGTTTTTCTAATTTATAAAATCCATTATATTTCAACGGTTTATCTGTTTCATCAAATTCAAGCAGTAAGTATTTGTCATTTATTTCCTAAACATTGAATCGTTTGAAATTTATTTAAAATGAAAATTTGATTCTATCTTATGAAAATGATTTAGAGAATATCAATTCCGATGGTACCACAATCGCTCCTGTTTATGGAAGCTCTTCATCGAATTTCCATTGCTTTGAAGGACAGTGAAACAGATTATTTATTTTTTATTATAACCCATTCGTATGAACGTAAACCAAAGATCCATTGTGATGAGAATTATATTTCATATTTATTAAATTCGACTTTTTATCTATCATTTAGAATTTTTTTTCGATACACAGAATAAGTTTTTTTTTTTAAATAAGATTACTAGGGGCTCATGGATATATGGGAGTTAGATACACGGATGTTATTTATTTAAAATTTCTGTCTATTTTCTGATACATCGATCTAATAAATAACTTTTATTTATACCTAATCAAACAAACGAAACATTGGAATCAAGCATAATTCATTTAAGACAAATTATAACCCTAACTGTTATTTTCATATTGAACGACAGTCAACTTCTTAGAACAATGTATTAAAAAATAGTTAAAAAAAGAATGAGTTTGAACATTACCAAATAGTAATTTACTTAAACTAGTATGAACATAAATCTAATATGAATAAACTTAATAAACCTAATAAAAATGCAATCTCGATCTTATATATGGTTTTATCACTTGAATTATATTAAATTTTAAATATATGTGATTTGGAACTACCTAATTATTGTTTAGTGTGAACTATTTAAGTTTTTTACGAAGCTTTTTATTTTAATTTTGAAAGCTATTCAAAGTCGAGCCGCAGTTAAATCATTTTCTAAGTCGACCTACAGTATACAAGGTTATGTGGTATTAAAAAAGCTTTATGGGTTCTTACAACCAAGAGTCCATTTTGAGATTCTAAGGTAATACAGGTGATAATAAATAAAATAATAATTATATTACAGTTCACTGGTACTGACGCATTCATATTTGATTGTTTTTAAATTCTATCCGAAGAAAATGTCGAGTTTTATTCTCTATACATTACATACATCCTGGAAATTCTTTCAAATTCTTCGAACTTTAGTAATGTTTGTATAATCATACAAATTATATAAATTGCGCATTTTTAAGAGTATGCATTCTATATGTTATAATATTTATACTAAAATGATGTGTTAAATGATCTATATCTTTATATAAATGAAAACATATATTAAATAACAAATATATGAATACGAATATATATCGTTTGTCCTCTCAAATTGATTTTTTTTTTACTTGCATGATAATTTAGTTGAAGAAGTAAATCTAAAATTAAATAACAATAAATTAACCACTGTTTCATATCAAGTACCTATAATTTTCGTATTATCTATACTCACAGCAGTAGTTTTCAAAGTACTTTAAATATTGTATTCTCCATCCAGATTTCAATATTGACACACTGTTTTGTCACACACAGATGTGACAGACAAACCACGGGCAGTCCACGGGCATGTTTTTAAACTCAGCACTAGTCTCCTCGATGGATCCGTCTCTGCACCAATGTCATTGATAAGGTTAGCGCTGAGTTTAAAAACTTGGCCATCCCAGAGGCATTTAGTTCAGACATTAATGGACGCTGCTAATCTTAAATCGCAGCTGACTGAGATTATCAACAGACAGTGTTGAGTAAGAAGCGGATGGTTTGATTTCTCTCCATAAAGTTTCATTTTACAACCTTACACGAATACGAGTATTTTTGTATCCGGCTAGACCAGCTTTTTTATTCGAGTTCATGAGGGCAATAGGTCGATGGCACATGAACCTTTCCCCACCTTCCAAATTATTATCTTCTTAAAACTAGTATAAGGGATAGTGAAATTTAAAAAACAGTAGATTATATGCAATTACTCTTGCTACGGTCTGTTCCATGTTTTCCCCATGTCTCCTAGTTTGAAACTTTTTATTCCAAATTATGCCCACACAAAAATTCAAATTCTGCTTCCCTCAAAAATGTATGTGGTGCAACTCTGGTCGAAATAATGTAATGGTTCTTCCTATATTTAGATTATACAAGAATATTAATAGATATAGCTCCAAACTTTTTAGTTCTGAATTATATTCATCATCAGAAAAAAAGTCTAAAGATAAATAAGAATATAAATATTGTTACTTTTTTATACCATTTAATGAAACAAAACAAATAAAGTACTATTAAGCCAATTACTTACCCCGCGGCCTCTTCAGCGACAGTGGCCAGGATGAAATCTGTGATTTTGTCATTCGAGATGACGTGGCAGTCTTCAGAACCTGGTGATCTCTCACCTTCATCGTCTTCGTCCTGAAATTATTCAATTAGGTGAGACTTTAATATGAAATAAATAAGTGATAATACGAAAAACGAGTCAAAGTAAAACGGTAGTCATTTCTAGAGGGCACGTAGACAGGTTGCTTTAGTAGGTGATCCTGTTTCATAATTAGAACATTGGTTTGGCTCAAAATGTGTGGGCTTAGTTAGATTATGGATTGATATTTGACAGAATCCACTTTAATTAAAGCCTTGCAGTTAAAGAAAAAAAACGAAATGCTGCTTGGACAAAGGACCCTTGCTCAATCGTCAGGTTATACCCTTAATTAATTATTAAATTATGGGTAACACTTTAAAAAGGTAATATATATCCCATGAGGGTCTCCCATTCGGTTTTCGATACAATTGTTTCCCTTTTGACCACTCTATTAAGGCGTCGCGTTAAGATAAATTTTTGAATAATAGTGCATTACAGAGAGAGTGAAATTCTGAACAATTCCCTTGTTTACAGCATGTAGTTCCAATTTTTCACTAATGTTTCACCGATTTAAAACTCGTCATCATTTGATTTTCGATACTATTTTTCCTTTTCGTTTCCCATACACGGCGTCTCGTTTAGATAAAATTTTGAATAATAGCTCATTACAAAGAGGATGATATGATGAACATTTCGCTATCAAACAATATGCAATATGCTATTTGTAGTCTTAAGATATTTTAATCCAAAACCACTTCAATTAGTCGACTCCAGCCGACTTTACCCGAGCGTTACACACCGGAGATGGGATTGCTCAATCTAATCCATTCTCCACAAAGTGCAAAACGCGCCTAAAGAAGTTTTCTCTTCAATAAATTACATTTTATAGCTGTTTAAAATTATTGGGTTTCTTATCTAATTTTAAAATATAATTAATGTACTAAGGTTAAAAGACTCAATACTCCTATGAAGACATTTCACTAATAGAATCTTTCTTAGTAGAAAAAAAAATAATCAACTATTTTTTTTTTGGCTTTATTAGA